TAATGTCTTTTTATAAAGTTAGATGATGTTTCGAAAAAATAGCTTCTGCATATGCACTGAAATGTAGATTTTCAACAGTAGTGACACCAAAATAGTTTATGTTGAGAACCTTTCCACCCTTTGGTTTTTCAGCGAAACAGAAAACACGATGCAGTTGGTTAATGTGTTACCGGAATTCTTGTTGATCCCTAATAAATATTCAAGTATGAACAGGCCAGAGTTCTCTGACCAATCCTGAACAGAACTGATTTCGCGAAAGTACTTTGATAAATAATCTACTGAAGTAACTGCATACAGTACCAAGGTATCATCGGCATATTTTTGCATTTACTTGGAAAGTTGATTTTGCATATATTCATCCATTAATGAATACTACGAAGAGAAGAAGAAATAAGTCTGTTGGTTACGGAATTTCTAAGTCGTTTGGAAAAGTAGAAAATTTGCGCCCGGTACGAAATGAATACGATCGGAGAGGTAATTGATTAGCTAGCGCAGGGTATGTGGATCAGTAGCGAGTGAACAAAGAATTGCTAAAAGCCTTTTATGACTCAAGATGTTAAATGCTCTGCTGTTTTAAAAGTTACGTACAAAAAACGTGGTTATTTTCAACTGCTGTTTTTTACCGCTTTTGTTGTATGTTTAAATAAATTTCTCATGCTGTTTTTTCTTGCAATTACAGTTGCGCACTAAACTACGATTCCGTAACAACACAAATTTGCTGAATTGCCGGTCTTGCCCTCTGTCCGTAGCTGCATCCGCTGTTTGAATCAACTCAAGCAATTCATGGCTAACCATCGGCTCAACTGCCTACAAACTGGTCGATTGACGGCAACGAAAAAACGGTTATCGTCCGTCTACCCGTAGTACTGCTACCGGCAAGTTTTGCAATGCGAAACCGTTGTGGTGGCTTACTTGATGGCATTTAATCTCGTGGCTTGCTCGATTTCTCGAAAATTTTTGCCTCGTAGCAACAACGGAGATAGTTCTTCGTTTTACATTGATCACGTGGTAATCACCTTCAGCCATGGTAAATAAGCTATATTGTCATCTAATTAATAAATGATATTGATCGAAAGTCAAAAATTAACCCATTTTTTACATATGCTTCTATGAGCATTTGTTGTTGCTGTTTTTGCCCATAAGTGGTTTATTTGCTTATTTAACTTGTGAACTATACTAAACCTAGACTAATTTGAAATAGTTCTATTTGAAATTTTCGTAATATTGCAAATACTAAATACTTCTTAATTTTAAAGCAGATTAGCTTAGTGTCGATTATATCAATAACTAGGTTCTGAATAGTATCGCAAATAGAATCAATAAAAATATCATTTTCCTAAAATTATACTTTATTTTTGCACCTGTCTGCCATTTCTACCTTCCATTGTTCACCTGGGAAAAGCGTGATTGATGGATGCACTTACCGCTTTGCGTTGTAGCTGGCAGTATCATCCATCCAAAGGTAAACATAGCTTTTATCTTACTTGGTGGAATTTGATCTGGGCCTGAGTTGTCTTTGAGTTGAGTTGCGCTTTGGATACTTTTCCGACTTTCTGACACTTAGACTGACTTTTCGCCATTTTATGTCACTTTTCTCTAGTTTAGATTTATTTTAAGAGTAGTTTTATTCAAGAAAAGTATTGAAAAGGATCCATGCACGGGTCTATCATTAAATTTGACAAATATTAATTAATTTAGATACATTTTTTTAAAATAATTTAGTTTAAACAGTGAGTTCGCAACTACTCTTAAAGATTTACTATTCTTATTACTGCATGTCATGTTTGCTGTATCAGGAGATGTAAAACAAGTTTTCTTTGAACTGTTCATTGTTCTTTTTTTAGGCCGAAGAAAACTTACTTTTCATTGAAGCATTATTACCGTATGTGAAGGAGTTCTCGTACGTTTGGTTCAATCTGCAAGCGGCTAAGCGCAAGTTCTTCAAGCGTAACGACAAACGCATGACTGTCGACGAGGAAAAGCGGGTGAAAGATGAACTGATGGTACGACGAATTCGTCTTTGACTTTGATACATTAGCTTTCGACTTGTTTATTATTTAATTTAAAATTTGCATATTTTTTAAGTACAGTGATGGCTGTTTTTCAGAAATTAAATTTGCGTGAAACGAGCGAAAATACGTAGAAGATAACCTAATTTTCCGTTAAGCTTCACCGGCATCTGTCTTTACATAATATTTTTTGTGATTCACGTGATCTCATGCCAAAGCTGACGTCTTTGCTACATGTTGTAAAGAACTCTGTGATTAAGAGTGTCCTCATACTTGTCACATAGATGACTAAATCAGTAGTTCTTCATATTCGCGTAGATTTTTGAGGTACGG